TGAGACACACACAGACACAGAGAGAGAGAGAGAGCAAGAGAGAGAGAGAGAGAGAGAGAGAGCGAGAGCGAGAGAGAGCGAGAGCGACAGAGAGCGAGAGCGAGAGAAAGAGATAGAAGACGACGCAGTAATATTATTGGGTCTTTCTTCGTTTCCCTGCGTGCTGGTGAAGTTGATACGAGATTTCTCTGCTAGTTACGCGCTATACGCAGATATCTATATAGTTAAGAAAGCATATAACTTTTCTAGCATCGATGGCTGGACTGAACGTCCTCTCCGGAAACCTATCAGCGTTGTCACTGATATTCAAACACGGAAAAAGAGAGGATCTCATACCATACGGTATGTATTATTATGTCTAACGTCGTTAGAATGCTAACACATATACAATTGAAATTGTGACCAGTATGTACCAATCACTTGTGGCGGTTACGTAATGTACAATATGTGATGGTTACGTAATGTACAATATATGATCAGATGCTTACGTAATGTACAATATGTGGCGGTTACGTAATGTACAATATGTGATGGTTATGTAATGTACAATATGTGATGGTTACGTAATGTACAATATGTGACGGTTACGTAATGTACAATATTATATGGTGGTTACGTAATGTACAATATGTGATGCTTACGTAATGTACAATATGTGACCACATATTGTACATTACGTAACCATCACATATTGTACATTACGTAACCGCCACATATTGTACATTACGTAACCATGATTACGTAATGTACAATATGTGATGGTTACGTAATGTACAATATGTGATGCTTACGTAATGTACAATATGTGATGGTTACGTAATGTACAATATGTGATGGTTACGTAATGTACAATATGTGATGCTTACGTAATGTACAATATCTGCTGTACCGTACGTCCGCCTTGGCCGTCCCCTTGCGCAATCATGCGTGTACGTGTTGTAAGATCTCTGTGTGAGATGGATGTTAGACGCGTAGCCTAGCGGCTCCTCGTCCGGCGGTCGCG